CCAGGTTCTTGTGAAACTGCCTCAGCCCCCCAGGTGGCCACCCCAGTGCCTGGGACCTCACAGGAAGGCCCCACGGTGTGTGCTGTAACCGTGTGCTTGGTGGAAAGACGTACAGTCAGGGCCCCCGAGCATCTGGACTGCTGCTACAGTATGTCCTGCCATGGACACACCTGGTCTGAGACAGACGGAAATCTAATCAGCCAATGGAGAATGGTGGACCGCATGGAACTGATGGACCATGGCCGCTGATTGTGCCCTCCGCTGGGCAGTGTTGTCACGCCTCACCTTGTTGATGGCAAATCGATCAGTGGAACATGGTCTAGTGGCCTTGACCAGCACTCCCAACAAAATAGTGAACTCAAATGCTAGTACCAAAGGCCTTGAAGTGTGTACTGCACGTGTACCCTGCCTGCCGACGGTGACAGAACACCCATGTCCCAGCACATGCCTTGTCCTGGCCTTTTCATCCTCGATAAAATACCCAGGCAGCCAGGTTGGTGGAGCGAAGGGACGGCTTGTTCCAGTAGCAGATCCAGGTCCCAGTAGGAAGCCCCCCTTGGCAAGATGCAGTGAAGTTCTGGCAAAGGTGTAGCCAATTTCCATACCCACATGACGGGCTGGGCTGCCCTCCCAGGCACCTGAAGTGCGTGGGCACTCTGGCTCCTGCCTCCAGACCTTCCATGGCAAATGGTGACTGCACATCCTCTGTGGCCAGAGCTGATCCAGCTCTGCTGTCTCAACACAGAGCCTTAACTCCTGTGTAAGGGACAGTACAGTGGGGACTCCAGTTGTTCGCTCCCCACCCAGGTTAGGTAGGCCAGGAGACAGTGGGTTTCTAAACACGTTCCCTTTTACCCTTTGGAGTTTAGTGCTGAGCGGGTTGAAGGGCACACCTCATGGCACTAAGAACAATTGCTGCTGTGGTCTTTGGCTGATCTGCCTGGAAGCTGTGCTGTTAACACAAATGCTGTGTGCACATCCCCGCTGTTGCCTGCCTCAGGTCACACAAAATAACCCCTGTTACTGCCTTCTCTCCTCTCTCCTCCATAGCAGACATGCTCAGTTGTACAACTGTGGTCCTGTGGCTGCTGGCAGAGAAGGAGGATTGTTCTTACTTTTGAATAACTGTTCTCTGTCTATTTTCATGCACATGCCTCTAAAGCTCTGTGCATGCTGCTCACAAGCTGGCACCACCTCTGCAAGGATGGGAGCCCTCACAGGCTCAGGGCAGATCACAGAAGAAAGGGCGTATGAGATTGTAAGAGCTGGGATGAGGGGTATCACGTATGAATTTACCTTGACCTGCTTGTCTCCACCTTCAGCTGACACTCCATGATGGGCCCAGAACAACCCTAGGTGTTTTTTCTTGCATTGTTTCCCATCATCCAAAATAAGACTAAACCACCAGCGTCTTGTGGAGCTTTGCAACTAGATCCCGGTTCCAGCCTGGTTGTTTAATATCAGCTCAAGGTTATTGAAATACATCCGGTCAGGATGAAGCCACTGCTGTCGACACTCA